AGTACGATGCTATAACTAAAATCCTCATGTACTGGATTCCAATTATTTCAGAATTGTGCATTGCACTTCTGATAGTTAGGCTGAACATGGGTATGTGTATTGGAAATAAGTCAATTCAACCCCAAGTTCTCCTATGACTACCATATTTCGACTTTACCTCAATCACAAATTACACCATGATGGACTCTATGATCAACGATGTGAAAAATGCATTAGTGCTGACGTATTAAAGTCGTTGGTTGATCATAGAGACAATTTTGAGCATAACAAATGCTCATGGTGTGATGGGTTGCGTCTACAAGGCCCAAGTACACGCTTTTTCCACAATTACTAACGATTCGAACTTCACGTCCTTGAGTTGCAGAGAACAATCCGGACTGAGAAAATGTTTTAGGATCCGCCCCATCTTATAACCTTGCTCCTATTGTCACTGTCAATGTAGCATTTTGTGTAACCCAGACCATAAGGACCATGTCAACTCGGCGCCATCCTCATCTTCCTCCAATATACCACTGACATTTTTGTGTGGATGCAGCACATCCTTGCAATCCCCTAGCAACAAAAAACGAGGGTAGCGCTCGTTATAGGTATGACACCAATTGACAACAACCTCGCCATACCTGTATGAAGTCAAAGTACATCTCACTCTTACAAGGAGTTCTTTTCATATGTAAAGGGATGATAAGGTTTTGCGCATTGTATCAAATTAAACCTCATGCTCCACTGTTTGTGCAGACCCCTGTCAAATTAAACCTCATGCTCCACTGCTTGTGCAGGCCCCTGACAATTCCTTCAAGTTTCAACCTTTCGACTGAACTCCCCAGAGGGAGTGTTTAACAAGTTAGTTCCGTCATCAAATCACCCCCAAGAACCACTGTTTCTAAAACAAGGACCAACATTTGTTGTTTACGGCATGGATACGCCATATCATTCTTTGATGTGTCCTGTCTGCGACTTCTCTCACATCCCAATCACACATGTTAAAAATGAACCGGCCCTTTTTTCCTATCTTGGGTCACATATTAAAAAAAAATGGGCCTACTAGTAGAAGCAGGGAGTTAAAAAATGCCTTCTGCTGGCAGAATTGCTTTTGCCATGCATTTTTTTTATTTTTTTTTTAACATTTCCCCCGAAAGGATTAACACTTAATCTATGTCCTTGATTGTTTTCAGATCTTTTTGTCAAAACTTTTGAGCACGAAAAATCGACAATTTCGCCAAAGTTCACAGACTCACAATTTTGCAAAAAAACGTGAATCGCCCAGGGCGGGGACCCCAAACCACCAAGCAGCCAGTTGCAGGAGCCTGATGAGGTAGTGGGGGCAGTGGTGGCTCAAACCACGAACTGAACAGCTGCAATTTTTCACCGGCCCAAAAAGACGTGGATCTACGGGTAGCAACAGAGAACAAAACAATGGGTGCTTTCGGTGCCAAAAAACTGTTTTTTCCCTCTCAAATTCACCTTTCAGTGCTTTCACTACCTACCTAGCTCTACGGCTAAGGATATGCAGGGGACCCCTGCAAGCATAGCTACCTGTCAAAATACAGGGAATGAATGTTGGCCCCCTGCCCTAACGGCGGTGGCCAGGGAATACAGTGGGGGCCATCGGTGGGGTCCTCGGTAAACGCAAAGACTGAGCATTTGGCTAGTACCTGCAGCTCCCTTTCCTTCTTCCTCATCCCTCAACGAGTAAGAGCAGTGCCTAAGACCGACACTCTCCCACACACCTCATACAACTGACCTCTGGCATGCAGAATTTGACATTTTGCTCTTCTTCCATAAAAATATCAAAATTTGTCTAGTACAGTGGGGGCCTTTTCGGCCAACGCTCTCCAACAACGAAATATACGAGCAAAAACCGACGGCCGCACTGGCAAATGCTCAGTCATTGTGTTAGCTGAGCCCCCCACCGATGGCCGCACCCTACTCCCTGACCACCACCGAGAAAGACCGTAACAGGGGTCAATTGAAAGACCCTTACGGTCGAAAGTCCTCCATTGCGGCAATGAACCAGTGAGGCCAACCCACCCCCTAAGGAGATCTAGTCCTTGCAATGAGCGTAGTACGAAGAGAGGGGGGTGTTGGGTTTCATCGTAACGTGTCGAAGCGGCCCCCACTTTGGGAGACTAAAAATAGACATATAGATGCCACACGGTCCATATAGGATGATGGGCCCCTAAGACTATGATATATAGCCTAGTCCATCTAGAGTGCACTGTTCACAGAGCCAAGAGTCCTTTCCACTGTAATGATTCCGGGTGAGGTTGCCCCCAAGGGTCTGGCCCGTCTGGGTACGTAGAGTTTCTCCTGCCGGGGGAGGGCAGTTCTTGACAGAGTGCAGCGAACGGGGTCCCTTTTTTTTTTGAGTGGACGGGGTCCTTTTTTTTTTTTCAGAAGTCCAGGTTGTTGTACAGGCTGGCCACTAGGCATATGACAGGCCCGTCAGCACCCTTGCTCATCATCTCGATCCCGGCCACATCCCCTACTCCCAAGGTCCTACCTGAGTGTACCCAGGACCATCACCCATTCTAGTGATCTTTGACCGGATGGCGGTTACAGGCATCAGGGCTAAGGAGGTTCTCATCTCCCTCCCCAGCCCTGATCGAAGCACTATCGAACGAGCGAGCCATGTCGTACCGGGCACTTCGAGCGCTAGGGGTAATCATGCCACTACAAGTCCCGTAGGCAAACCCTAGATTTTCCTGTTTTTTAGGGATATCCTAGCCTTATCATCATCAGATCCCTCTGCTTATTCTTTTGAATTCTTGTGGAGGCTATTCGAACCTGGAGCATCTCCATTTTCTGTCCTCAGTAGGCTTGCGGCCACCATCCACTCCCCATACCTCTATCATCAACCGGATGTCTAGGCATTCTATTAGCGTCCCCCAGAGCAACTCCAGTTTCTGTCCTCAGCGGGTTCACAGCCACCATCCGCTTCCCCAACCTCTATCATCAACGGGAGCTACTCTGGGCTATTCTAATCTGACAGTATTCTCCATGCAGGTGACAGACCAACCTTCACCCCCTAAGACAGCCTCTCCCACCTCCGCGAGCTTACTCCCATCCACGGGAGCTACTCCATGCAGGTTCCCCGACGATATCCTCCATCAGGGCCTATCCCACCTCCATGTCAACCCAGACGAAGAGGCTCACAAAGCTGTTAGGGATGGAAGTCGATAAGGAGAAGCGTGCGTATAGGGAAGGCTGTTAGGGAGTTACGATAACCAGTTACTCTCAGGCTGACTGTGCCATAGAAAGCCTGATCCTGCCAGCCACAACCCATTTAAAAAAAAAAAAAAAAAAAAAAAAAACCCTACATCCGAGTCAATGTTTGAATTTCGGAAAGGCAAGAAAGCATTAAACGGAGTTTTGTTGCGGTCGCAGTTTTGAATGAACAAAATATTAAAATACTAAAAATAGCAAAAATTGAAAAATACTAAAATAGCCACGATTTCTTTTTGAACTCAGGCCCTCTGCACACCAACGCCTCCCCCCCCCCCCCCCCCATCCGATATCTGCAAGTGCCGCCCGGCTTTTGTTGCCTTTCCGAGCTTGGCGCGTGATCGACCCGCCGACGCATGTTTTTTTTGCTTATTCAGGACTCATTTTCGTTCGCCGCTTAGGTGGCTCAAGACGAAAAACCACCAAACCACACACCAAATTTGCAAGTGACTATTCGGCGTATTCGCTGTTGGGATGCAAACCACACTGCGGCTGGATGCCGGCGCAGGCGCCCAAGGGCGCACTTTTTTGTAGGGAGGGGCATTTGTGGTTTACCGCGGTAATTAGCAATCGGAAACTTCACCAAACCGGGAGAGGAATTGGTCTATGTAGGACCACGCGATGAACATAAATGACAGAAACCAAAATTTGCAAATTGGTCTATGTAGGAGCAAGCGATGAACCTAAACGACCCATCATTTGTAAATTCCGGGAGGAACTGGTCTATGTAGGAGCAAGCGATGAACCTAAATGACCCATACCCATCATTTGCAAAGAGACGGAAACCATTTGAAATGATCCATCAACAATAACGATCTGCGCCACAATGCTCCATAGAAAGCCAAAGAGACCGCTATTGCCAAAAACATGGATTCTGCATGGCCACAATGCTCCGTAGAAAGCCAAAGACCCGTGATTACGGAAACCGGGTGTCCTGAGACTTCACTGCAGTCATGGAGCCTGTACAGCCATGGAACCTGTATGTTCCCTGGCGGTGGCGACTATATGGCGCACGCTACGCTGTGCAGAGAGGACACATAACAACACTATGCTGCAGAATTAACGTCAGCGCAACAACATTATGCGAGAGAGAACAATTATGGATGCTACACTCTTGTGGGGGAAAACTGTTACAACAAATGCACAAAGAGACCACCATAATAAGCCTGCAGAATTTTGGTATTTTCAACTATTTTAGTATTTTGTGACTTACCACCTGAAAAAAAAAAACTTGAGATTCTGAGGCCACATCCCTTCTTAAATATCCATAACCATGGTTGTTGTAAAACGGCCTACCACTCCTCTGTGCCTGGTGCAATGTGTGCAAGGGGGAGGGGTGGGAGAGAGAGAGAGAGAGAGAGAGAGAGAGAGAGAGAGAGAGAGAGAGAGAGAGAGAGAGAGAGAGAGAGAGAGAGAGAGAGAG